TAAACCCGAAAGCCGAAGCCTCAAAACACAAAAGTGGATTCATTGATCCATCAATACAAAAAAAAAAAAAAAAACAAAAACCCACAGCTCACCAACAGACAGCCCATCAATGAAGATAAAGCGAAAGAGAAGCACACTTGAGCTCACCCGCCGTGTTTTTGTCTGTTGACGTCTCCGAGGTCGAGCTCCTTGTGTCTCCTCTTGCTGGGGAAGTGGCTGCCGTTCAGCTGCGTGACGGGCCACCAGCAGGCGAAGCACAGGAGTCGTAAGGCCAGGAGGACCGCTCTCATGGTGAAAGCGGTGCTGGGAACGCTAGAGGATCCCCCCACCCCCCCACACCGCCCACCGCCCGAGCGTCCTCCCCCTGCCCTCCGATGGAAGCCTCAGTCCCCGTCCCTTACTGGCACATCCATATTTCGGCAGCGCTCATTCCGCTGTTGCTTGCGCACGCCCAATCATGGTCGCAACGTCCTGCACTCTCATCTGCGGGCAAAGGCGCTATACATGAGTCCAGATAGTCCCCTGATTGAGTTTGGTTGTCAAATGTGCCATCCGTCCTCTTGCATCTCTTGTCGGAACGTGCTTCGCCGCTGACCCTAACAGTCTCCACCCTCTTGTCTAAAACCAAATATCAATTTATTCCAATAACGACAAAGGAATACCATTAATTCCTCCCTAATCTTCTTATCTGTGGTTGGCGAAATCTTTCGGTAACCTACAAACTGGAGGCAGCCGAGGGCGGGGAGGGGAGCGGGGATAATACAACCAGTGGTTTCATCATCATTCTGAGGAGATAAAAATATAAAAAAGCCTGTAGCCTACTTTTACAGACAACGGGATTTTCCCCTCCAGATGCACTCTTGTCATCGGGGTGGGATGAGAATGATCCCAAGCAGAGGGGACAGATGTCAGCATATGTTTGTTTGGTCCACCTCTGTAAACGTTGCATTTGCATGGCTCGGCCCGACGACATGAGGGATATGAGCCGCTTTCACCTTGGGGGGGTGGACCAAATGCGATTCTGTTTTAGGTTAGGTGTGTACGAATAAATGACCGACATAGTGTTTGCCGCAAACTCTCATGATGGAATTATGGGTAAAAAGTGCAAATTTGGTTTCACTGTATTATGAAATCTTCCAAACGCGTGTGGGGGGGAAATTGAGCTACGGTCCGATGGAGTCAAGGTTGAACTTTTCGGCCATAATTCCAAAACGTATGTTTGGCACAAAGGCAACACCGCTCATCACCAAAATGGAAAGCCGTTTTTAGCACAAAAACTTCTGGCTTCTGCTAGAATCCGCCCCACCCCCCCCAAAAAAAAGCCTACTAGAACATCTGAAGTTCATTTGGGATTCATCGGAGGCACTTTAAATGATGGCAGGTGTGTGCTGACTCCCATCTCACGTGAATGAATTCCGATCACAGCGACGTTCCGGTTATAAGAGGGTGTGCGCACTTGTGCAACCACACTATTGATTTGATGAAATGTTTTTTAATTCAAATTTTTTTAAAACAGATTTAAGGTCTACGTTTTGAAACGATTCCATGTGCTCTCATGATTTTAATCACAGACGCGTGACATTGGAACAAGGGGTGTGTAGACTTTTTATATTAACCGTGGATAAGTTCCATCTGCACTTTAAGTAACATTTGCTGTGCTGATGTTTTTTGGGGTTTTTTTTGTTAGTTGCCATTGTTTGGTTTGGAATCTACTTGAATTAATAATAGTATGCTCTCGCGAGGGATGCAGGTGTGTCGGCGGGAGCGTTAACGTGAAACGGGAACACATTTGGAAGGCAGGGGTGTCGCGTGATGGAGCATTCACACGGAGCCTGTTAAACATTCACCCGCCGAGTTAATTAGTCAGTGTTGCATTCGTGTTTCGGAGGATGTAAAGTAGAGTCGCGTCGATGCAACTCACTGCACCGCAGTGATTGTTCTCACATTACTTCAAGACATGGCAGGGACGCGGGCATCCGGCTTGCTGCTGCTTCTTTTCTTGGGGGAATTCTTCGTGACGCTCTCAAAAGGTAACGTCAACGTCTCGTCCTACGCAACATAACAACAATACGGTCACCGGTAAATGTGCACTCGGCCGTTCAAGCGATGGATGATGCCGGATGTGGCATCGAATGTTTCAATGTGACTTTCATGAAAGATGATGTCAATCTTAAGAAATGACAACGCGGGTTCTAGTGACGTGATCCCGCACGCTAAACGACGCTCATCTCGTGCTCGCAGAGGCCAACGTCTCCTGCATCATCCACGACGATTGCCTCCTACCCTGCAGCTTCCGACCCCCCGGCACCGTGGTGATCCACTGGTACAAGCAGCAAATACCCGTCCACAGCTACTACTACAACAAGGACCAGTTTGGACTGCAAAATAAGCATTTCAGCGGGCGGACTTGCCTATTTAACGCTCACATCCCCAATGGGAACGCATCGCTCCTCCTCAGGAGGGTCAAAGTTCAGGACAAGGGCAGGTACAAGTGTTACACGAGCACGCGAAAGGGGAACCAGGAACTCTTTGTAAATCTGGAAGTGAAGGGTCAGTCAAGATTTTTTTTTTGTTGGCTCATTTTCGAGAATATGTTTACATCGCAGCTGTGCATTGACTCTTTTTGCTAAATCTAATGAAACAGTTGTGAAAAAAAAATTAATAAATGCTGATCATGTATTGCGCTTACTGAGGTAGCAGTGCAGTGTTGGGCAAATAGCGCCATCTGTTGGAGATTTATTTTACTGCTGCCGGCGAAGGCTCTGGGATGAAATTTAAAATATGGCGCTCGGAAACAATCTATGTTATAGTTAATCCACCCCAAAAAAAGTGTTTGATGGGGTTTAAGTCAGGATGCGGTTTCTGGACCAAAACAGGGCCTTCCTCAACTATCTTTGTCCAAAAACGTCTTGGTACAAGACTCTCCATCGGGCTCCTTATGACCTGATAGGTGCTCATCAATTCTCTCTCTTCTTCCAAAGCGCTGATCCAATCAGTCATCATGGAGCTGAGAGATGAGACGGTCACATGCTCCTCCAGCAACATCTACCCGTTGCCCAAGGTGACGTGGGCTACTGACCCCCCCTCCGCAGAGGAAGAGCTGGAAAATGTCACCACGAAAACCACGGACCACAAGGGACTTTTCAACGTGCAAAGCACACTTCAGATTCGGGGGAACGTCTCCGATTACACCTTCTTCTGTTCGTTTGTGTCAGCGGACAAGACCCAAGTGTGGACCGCCTCTCGGAAGAATCAAGGTGGGCCGCGCTTGTCATCATGAAGGATGATGGCGTCAACGGATAGCAATGTGAGGTCAAATGTCTTGCAGTGATGACACAGGAAGAGGGGCGCACGCTGCGCATCCCCTGCATTGCGCCACGCGGTCTTCAAAACTTCTCCCTCATTTGGAGCTTCACTTCCTCCGGCGAGACCGCAGTGATCCTGCGGTACGACAGCAGAAACGGCCACACCGTCAACTCGTGGGAGGGCAGAGCCGAAGTGGACCGGGAGCAACTTCCGCTGGGAAACGGATCCCTTCTGCTCGGCAAGCCCGACAGCGACGAGCACTCCGGGACGTACACGTGCACCTTCACGGGTCCGCAGAGTCGCCTCATTGTTCTGACCGAAGTCAACATTACCGTTGCGGCAATAAGTGAGTACAACACTGCACGGCTTTGAATGAACCCAGAAAGGCAAATAAATATTCTAAAATGAGTTGCATGGGCAGGTTTGAGTGAGCGGAGTATGCCGAGGTCAAGATGGAGCACGGGAGCTTCTGCGGCTTTTGTCCTGTTCACCATCATTTTAGCTATTCCACAATGTCTAAGGCGCAGAGGTATGTGCGAAAAATATTTCTGTCTGTAATTTGCAAATAACGGTGAAGTAAATTATCACAATTATGGAAAACAATTCGGTATTAGGACGCAGGGCCATTATACTCACTGGAATTGAAATTGCCTATTTACCAAAAAGAGTACAAGGGACTTGTTTTGGCTCAAAATTTGTTCTAGTTCCACACGGAGATGTTTGAAGTGGTTCAAGTCAAACACCCCCCCAAAAAAATGTCAAATTTGATTTTCTGGGAGCGGGAAGGGAGGTGGGCAATGTGGAGCAGAAAACTTACCGAAACTGTTCCCCCATAGCTGGAAACATAAAATTGTTCCAAAATGTCTTGCCAACATAAAGAAGCAGCTAAAGTGTCCACCCCAACTCCTCATTGACAGATTTAAGATGATTTTGATCATGCTCAAACCTTTTCATGGATTTCATCTTGGCTAATGTTGCATAGTGTGTAAAATGTGACTAAATTAACGCCCAAAACAGAGAAAAGACCGTTGCTATGGTAACAAGCAATATACAGTATCACACCAGACTGAAAATGGCTCCCATTTCTGCAAACAGGAGTACGGTCGACATCACACAGGCACAATGGCGGAGAACTCCTTGACTTTGGCCTGCATCGAGATCCCAACGTCACAGCTTTGCAAATACTTAAGCAGCACGGCGTCGACTGCAACATTTTGGCAGTGCAAGCCGGAGGGTTGAACGGATTTCCAGGCGGAAATGCGGCACAAGACCACAGAGCCCGGGAAGACGACGAAGAAAAAACAGACGCCGGAGAAAATGATCATTTGCAGTGCAGTGGTCAAGCTTGTCAATCAACAGCGAGCCTGTCGACGTTAAACCAGAACTAAACGGATCACACCCGAAATGAACTTTTAAACCAGTTAGAAAGGTGTGTCAGAAAAGTTCCAAGACAACATGTCAAAAGATCTCAAACCCGAATGCAACAGACTATGAATTTTCCTCTTCAACATAAGACAGATCATCAACCAGGACACCCACAAAGAGATGCCGTCAATACGCAAGAATTTTGGCAGGACAACTCGTGGCTGCGTCACCATGACAACATGCCTGCTCACAACGCCCTGAGCATCCGACAGTTCCTGACAGGGAACATTGCCATTGTAGAATAGCCTCCCGACTTACCCCGACCTGGTTTCAAGTTTCAAGTCAACTTTAAGGCTCACATGGGAAGAGAAAAAAAGAAATTGTGATTTGGGATAAATACCTTTTGTGACACCCTGTACATTGTACCTTGAGCAAGTTAGAATTCTATGATCCATGCCAAACAAATGTGCAGAATACACAGAACAGATTTTTTGAATGCCGTTAAACAGAACTTTTTTTCCTCCTCCACTAGACTTTTTTTTTTTTTTTTTGGCATCTGACCAGAATTTTAAATGACTGCACATATGGTTGGACTTAAATCTTTCCCCAAGACTGTCTGGAGGTGTAACATTCCCGTGATGAGTGGAAAACACATCTGCGCATGCAGGCAAAAGAGAGTGACATTTTTAAATGAGTGTTGTTTTATTGCCCTGATATTATACACAAATAAAAAAAAAATAACAATAGATGGGAAGAATACATCAATGCGTCTTCGTGGCCGTGTGTGAAATGCAGGCGCTAGTATGAATGCGAATAAAGAGGACGTATCAATGCAGGGATCTAAAATTAGGCAAAAGGGCAAAACCACATCAATGGTTTTAAAAACATCATTTCAATGTGCCACATGTTGTTTTCTGGAAGCAAATGTGAAGCAGCGTCTCATCGGAATGGCATCAAGTCCCACTTAGTGGGGTCATGGCCTTAAAACCTGCAGAGCACACAGCTGGAGCACTTGTGGACCTTGACAATGGCATCAAATCGGCCAGATATGTCACCTGAAAACTGCTCCCTCCATCAATACTTTCCGAGAATGTGTCAGCAGCACACACAAATTCATGTTTGTGTATGTGAAGCTAAGACAAAGATCCAAGGTCTGTGTCTGGAAGCAATCATCTTGTCCAGACCCCCTCCCCATGATGTCATCGAAGCTGTAGTTCCGGGAGAATTGGGGGATTTTTCTTAGGTACGGTTTTCTCAAACTCTCTCCTTTTCCTTGACAAGTTTTACATTTCATATAGGCAATCACCATCATGTGTTTTTTTGTTTGTTTTTTTACAGATTTTTTACATATTCCCTCGACACAAGCAAAGTCTAGTTGAAGTTGAAATGTTTACACTCCATCTGTTTATCTGGACGTCACGAAGGGGGAGTGGAGTAGTTTTGGTCTCTTTATGATGCAGCCAAGGGCAGC